GTGGATCACCACCTAATCAAAGACTGCCATTCTTCTAATAAAAAGCCTGGTGGCGGTGGATGGTCAAAGCTCCTTTATCAGGCGACAGCAGGCAAAGATATGACTGTGAGAGGGCTTTGTGACGGAGCGGAGCCGTGTGGGCCGCTAAATGTGACACCATTCTTTCCCTATGCTACAGACTGGAAGAAAAGAAAAACATGTCGAAGAGTAGTGTACAAGAAGTGTCAGTCTGGTGAGAGTGCAAAAACAAGCCGAACAGAAAAGGAAAAAAGAAGTCTTCATGACTCCCAAGTCTCTATCTGTGCATCACTCGACCCCTTGTAAACATTATGATATACTCACATATCAGCTACACACTGGAACTGCACTGTCAATTTCAGCCCAGTAAACAGTGGGTGCCACTATAAAATCAAGGATGCAGTAGAGAGTGTAGCTGCCAAACTATCGTTCAATCACCATTTAATTTTTCAGCCCAGTAGCCAGAACAAAATGTTGGAAAATATGTTTGCAGACCAAAGATATGTAACATGTGTATGTCTCATACATATGATGATGTTCAGATTGCATGTATATGAGCTGAGTTTCTTATCAGGAGGAGGGGATGGTGTGAGAAACCCAAGCGAGACGGCTGCCAAGCAGCAGACCACTGTCAAAACCAACGAAGTGGTGTCCAGTGGTGTTTGTAGCAACACAAGTGGGTGTTTTTTTTCTCTGCAGTTTGGGACATGTCCAGCGGTGGTTGTAGCAACAAAAACAGGTGCTTTTTAACAAAAGTTTGGGACATTTCTGGCAGTGTTTGTAGCAACAAATGCAGGTGTTTTTTAGCAACAATTTGGGACATGTCCAGCAGTGATTGTAGTGACAAAAGCAGGTATTTCTAACAACAGTTTGTGACATTTCCAGCAGTGTTTGTGGCAACAAATGCAAGTATTTTTAGCAACAATTTGGGACATGTCCAGCTGTGTTCATAGCAACAAAAGCAGGTGCTTTTTAATAACAATTTGGTACATTTCCAGCATTGTTTGTAGCTACAAAAACAGGTGCTTTTTAATAACAGTTCTGCACATGTCCAACTGTTTTTGTAGCGAAAAAGCTGGTGTTTTTAACAACTGCTTGGAACATTTCCAGTGTTGTTTGTAGCATCAAAAACCGTTGCTTTCTAACAACAGTTTGGGACATTTCCAGCAGTGTTTGTGGCAACAAATACAAGTGTTTTTTAGCAACAATTTGGGACATGTCCAGCTGTGTTCGTAGCTACAAAAACAGGTGCTTTTTAACAACAGTTCTGGACATGTCCAACTATTTTTGTAGCGACAAAAGCTGGTGTTTTTAACCACAGTTTGGAACATGTCCAGCTGTGTTTGTAGCAACAAAAGCCAGTGTTTTTTGACGACGGTTCAGGAAGTGCGTAGCAGTGTTTGTAGCCACAAAATCAGGTGTTGTTTAACCACTGTTTGGGATATTTCCAGTGGTGCTGCTCGCCACAAAAGCTAGTGTGTTTTTTTGTTTGTTTTTTGCAGTTTGGGATGTGTCTAGCATTATTTGCAGCATTTGCATTATTTTATGCCAAATCATGTTTTCCTAGAAATGCAATGTGTAGAAATGTAGCATACATGGACATGTAACATTTGTATGTTTGCAGAAATGTACAATGCCAACATGTATTCTGGTGACTGGACTGTAATCTCAGAAGATATTCAATCCACCTCTTGGGTAAAATCCTCCACAATCCAACTAAACTCTCAGTTTCCACTGAATTAGGAAATAAGAAACTGCTGAGAGCTTTAAAACAAGGTCATTTGAGGATGTGGTTTATCTACATGCTAATTGAAAACCCACTCCACCACATACACACACAGTGGCATTCGGAACAGATGACTTGCCTGTACTCCTGTGCCCAAAAATATATGAATATTCATAAACACAAATAGAATTTTGGAATGTGGCCATAAGGTTTCAGACTCTGTAGCTATATACATTCACCACCTCTATCCTTTAGCTCCAGTGTATAGCTGCAGTCAAATGAAGAGTGGTGTACAGTGCAGGGACTCTGTGGCACACTTGCATCTTGCAGATATGTGTCCTGTTGTCCTGTGAAACCTATTCACTCTAGTTAAGGTGTTTTTTGTGTTTGATTTAAGGATAATGTGGTTCCCTTAGCAGACTGGGAAAGTTGCAGAGTGTGTAACCTTTTCAAAGGTTCTGATTTTTACAGTTGCTGAAAAGATGACAGATTGTGGAGATTAGAAATTAGGGATAGCGAGTATTACGTTTTAATGACTCATTATGGGAGACACAAGCTTGCATCAAAGAACCTTATGAGAATGGTGCAAGTGCGCCTGCTTTTACGTTGTGGGCCACATCATACCTCACACAAACCCCCCTGTCTACAGCATGCACACAAAAGCCAATCCAACACACGCAGACAACTCGTTCGCGCGCGCAGGTGCACACACGTACACACAGGAGCGCACACACATTTCATCACTTTGCCTTTCTCTGCCTTTCCTCCTCACAGACAGAACTTGATCCGTGTTTACGCCAACATTTGTATAATCCGCTCTCCCTGCGTTTGTCTCTGACTCTCTTTTGGGTTCCTTTCACTCCCAAATACATTTTACAAGATTTCGGAGCTCCATCAGGGGACGGAAGCCTGTCTGCGTGAAAGGCAATTGCCACTGTCATCCTCATGCCGGATTCCCTTGTTTCTGCGAAATGCATCAGGCAGGGTTTTGAAACACAGTTAGTCCTGAAGGGGATAGAAGTTTTATTTTCTGTTTGTTTTGTCTTATTTCCTGCTGTGCTGCTTGTTTGGACACGCGCTGCAAAGCATCCCTCTCGATGAATGAGACAGTGGTATTGAAACGTATTTACTTACAAATAAAGAACAAAATAAAATAAAATAAATAAATAAATAAATAAACACTGAACTGCACAAATTATCCAAAAATCCAAAACCAATAGTGACTAATTAAAAAAATATATATATAAAAAATAATAAATTAAAAAACGGGGTTACCTCGAGACATGGACCAGTGTTTCCCAAACGTCCCCTTAACAACAGAGTAAACAATAAATGCTTTTCTTTGGAACAATGAAATAAGAAAATAACCCAACTGACTTTGTTTCCATCATTGTAACCACAATGCCAATGATCTGTGCGTACAATGACAACAGGACACGCATCCCTCTCTGCTCTCTCTTCCTCTAAACCGCATCCAACCATTTAATTTAATCACCCTCTTTTTCCCTTTAAGGCTCTTCTGGATGTGGATCTTACTGACAGTAGGTTACAGTGGTGGGCCTGTGCGTAAAGCTGTGCACAGTCATTGGTTTTAACATCAAATCTGGCAGGATACATTGGGGAAAATGAGTTTATAGTACTGAGATTGTTTGAAATCATTTTCACTTCCCTTAAAATGTTTTAACAGAAAGACCAACAAGGCGCAATGAGAGAAACCTCTCCTCTTAATAGGAATAAAAAATGACCGCAGAAAAATAATGTGACACACGGTGGATACAGTTGGAATTATCTTACATCTATATGCAAAAAAAAAAATATATATATATATATATAAATGCAGGGACTTTCATCGATAAGATTTTCATACGTGTGTGCGTAATTTACGCTTTGATCCGATTTCCAAAGCAGTCAAGGCACAACATCCACTTTACAGCGGTGGTCAAAATAATGCCACACACAGGGGACTTGCACTGGGTGCAAAGACCATCACTAAAAGCAGAGGAAAAATGTACAAAGTCGGGGACATACATGGACATGTCTTTACTCTGCTCTCATTTCAATCGTCGTCCTGTCTGGAGGTGTATGCATGATGACGAGGGTGGTGCTGATTTTTGTTTTTGTCTATTGGGTGAATATTTGTTGTTTACAAGCTCTCCAATATCTCTCTCTCTCTCTCTCTCTCTCTCTCTCTCTCTCTCTCACACACACACACACACACACACACACACACACACACACACACTGACACAGTGAGCGCACCTATACTTCCCTGTGCGTAAAGAGCGCCGCTTCACTGTACAAACGGTACTGCCACTGCCAGTGTGAGAGTTCTGCGCGCTGCAACGCTGACTGTCAAACTATGGTCCACAGGATCCCTGAGGGGACTCACTATAAAATGAGGAATAATGTAATTTCACGGTAATCCGCTTTGCTTTGATCCCGATTACAGAATGCATATGGATGAATGTTCACCACTGTTATCACCCCTCTGCACAGGTGAGAGAGTTACACAGATCAGTACCAAAACACAACGACTGTTTTCAAGCCAGTCCCTGCAGAACTCTAAGTAGTTGATCACACTGATGCCATTGGAAACAACAACGCATGCGAAGCGTAGAAGTGTTGAACACAGCCCGCTGTCCTACAAACCGATATTTCAAATAAATGACAGAGCAGAGGCAAAAATGGAACTTTTGTGGAGCATTAGACAGCCTGCGTATCCACGGGAGGGAAGACAAGAGCACAGTAGCCTGTTGTAAAGCGAGGCTGTCACTCCGCTGTGTTTGTCCACACTGTGTCTAAGGGACACGTGCGGTGGACAATAAATGCTCCCCTTTCCCTCTAAATTCAACAGTGCCGCTCTGTGCACGAAGAAGACAGAGCAAGTCACTGGCACGGATTCATTCAGTTTATCACAACAGACATGTCCTGCTACAACCCTGCCATCTGCTCAAAGCAGCACCTGTGTTTCAGCACCACAGTGTCTGCACGTCAGACGCTGTCCAGGTGAATATTAAGGCTGTGACTTAGACGTTTGTTTAAAATGAGGCTGCTGTCTGATAGTGAAAATGACAGCAGGGGGTGCGGGATGTATCTGACAAGCCCCAGTGCCCTTGTTACATGCAGAAAAAAGAACAGCAGTGATGGAAAAGTATCCTCCGTGAATAGTTGTGCCACTGCACTCAGTGCGCACCGAGCAGCTCCACGGACACACAGAACTGCGCACCGGGGGAACACACGGATGGCGTCCACTCACCTGATTGTGAAGAGCTCGACCCGACCAAGAGGCAAGTCAGGAGAAAGCCGAAGCAGCACAGGACAGTCGTTGGTTTCATTGTTGTGCTTGGCAAGTATCTCCTTTAAATTCACATGTCCAGCAGCGTATCCTTCCTTGAAACAGCCAGAAAGGATGAAGCGTTTGCTTTTGAAGCCTCTTCAGCCTGTGAGTTTGGGGACTTTAGTCGCTTTGGACTAAGTTTACAGTGTGTCCGACAGCCTTCCGCCTCGCCTCTCACTGCCCGCGGGCCTAATTAGTGACTGACGTGAAAGCAGAGAGGGTCGAGTGTTAGTTTCCAACGCGCGCACTGTAAAGCTTGTCTAAACAGTATAAAGCAGTACTCATGCCATTACTCCCCGACTTGGATACAGTATGCAGCTGTAGACTCGTATTCTTCAGACACACCTCCGAGCCCCTGAACTCCTCCTACCGGCTCTGTGATTGGCACAGATGCCCGGCAATCACCGTAAACCCCGCCAGTCACAACTTCATGCGCGCTGCCATTGGTTCACACAAGATACCAAAAACCCCATGAATTTGTGCGTCGACTCCGTTGCACCTGTCACACTGAACACAGCAGAGATGAATGCTGCCAGAAGGATTTATAGGTGTAATGGGTGAAACAGAGCTGAATATTATTATAGGTGTGTTGTCCCGTGCGCTTTTGAGGATTTCACCCGGATTTGATAAGATATGGTTTCATATTGGAGGTGTTATTGATTTGATACTGAGCTCTACTGTCTGCACTGTACTTTGGGAGTCTTCTACGATTGATGCCAAGGACAAGAATATATTTCATTTCATGATTATCAAGTTTAAAGTGGATTAAACTGTCATTTTGCTGTTGATCCGGTGACTATAAATATGTATCTCCCCTATCTTGCTTCATTTTATAAGACAACATGATCAGGCAGTGAAGAGACGGCTTTCTGACAGCAAAATTATCACCCAAGAGAATTCTTTTTTTTTTTCATGGTGCATCTTAAGTAAAGATTTCCATTTTTCCTCAGTTATCAGCGTGCATTACTGTTGAAGGCAATATCTCTCCATATCCAGGGTAATCATTTCCCCAGGGGTGGCTCAGTGTAAATGACACAAATACAAAAGTCAAATAGAACGTTTAGATAGTGATATTATTGTGCTCACTGAGCTATTTGTAATAGTTTGAGAGCAGTGACTTTGCGGTGACAGAAAAATAACTAAGATAATGGGAGTATGGGAAACAATGTGACAAAAGGTTATTACTTTCTGAACCAGCTGCTGCTGCCTACTTTCACACTTTAGGAGAAGGGTGAAGGCCTCCTGGGGTGACAATATGTCCACACATCTGGACAGAAATCGTGCACTCTGACTGCCATCACCTCCACCCTCTCACCCCCAAATTAAGTTCTCTCCACACACACACACACACACACACACACACACACACACAAAAGTTCGACCAAAAGTCTGAAAAGGGGGTTAAAAACTTTTTAATATTCAACTTACGCTTGATTTATCAGTATGGCAAAGCAATAACATGCAATGTGTAATATTTTTGCATCTACCTATCAGATTCATGACTTTACCATATTCAAAGTTAAAGGTCCAGTGTGCAGGATTTAGGGGGATACATTGGCAGAAATGCAATACAGATATAATAAGCACATTTTCTTTAGTGTAAAATCATCTAAAAATAAAAATTGTTGTGTTTTCGTTACCTTAGAATGAGCTGTTTATGTCTAAATAGGGAGTGCACCACCAGAACACCATGTTTTGACAGTAGCCCAGAAGAGCTAAACCAAACACTGGCTCTAGAGAGGGTCTTTAGCATTTTCACATTTTCACGTCGGCCACTGTAGTTAGCAGCCCCCCAGTGACAAGCAACATCGTAAAACACAGATTTTTAACATGAAACTGCTTTATTCAGTATTTTCACCCATTTAAATCACCTATGGTCTCATTTGTAAACATTGCGTACGCACAAAATGAGGCCTAAAAGAAGTGTACACCACTTCCCATGGAAAAGTTGTGATCTATAAAAAGCCACTTGATGGGAAAAACTTTGACCCATGCTTTATGAACATTTTGGAGACTGGAAATTGATGATCCAGATTGTGAGGTGGAAGTAGTAGTAGGTAGGTAGTTTTGGCTTTTGATTGTTTGTACTTTTTTAGTATGGATCTTACATACTGTTCTATAAATGAGACTCCCGGTCTGTTTGTTTTGGTAAGGAAGGAAGAGCCTTCTATGGATAAGTTAGCTCCTGGTAAAAATCTCCCTAAATTATCTGAGAAAGTAGGTGAGCACACATAAGAAGGCACTGGGCTAGCGGCCTGTCTGGTATGAGAAACCCTGAATTGTAATGTGAAACTGCTTTATGCAGTGTTTTTACCGGTTTAAATCAGCTGGTTTGTTTGTTTTGGAGAGGAAGAGACCTCTGCGGATAATTCAGGTCCCGGTAAAAACCTCCTGAATGTATGGATCAGAAATAAGGTGGGCACACTTTCAGTTATTAAGAGAAATGTGGGAGCACATTTTAGCAGGTGGTGGCAGACAGGCCAAAAAGCACAGGAAAAACATTTATTTGTAAAGCTAAGCTGCTTTATCCGGTGTTTTTACTGGTTTAAGTCACCTGGCCTCTTTGTTTTGGTCAGGAAGAGACTTCTGTGGATAATTCGGCTCCCAGTAAAAATCTTCTGGACAAGAAATTCTAACAGGGATAAGTTTCAGCTGGTGGCAATGTGCAATCCTCACCACTAGGTGCCACTAAATCTTTCACACTGGACCTTTAAACTGTATTTACTTGGGTGAAATGATAAAATGATTTGATTTTACCTTCAAATTTTAACAATTAAGTCCCCAGTTTGGGCTGAAACACAGCTGATTCTTATGATATTAGATTTAACATGTAAGCACCATAACAAGTACCATCAGCTACAAGTAAGTTTGATCATTAAGGGGTCTTTCAAGGGAAAAAAGTGTGATATTTATTAAGCTCTTCTGAAAGTGGTTATTAGCTTTATTATGACTGGAGGAGGCAGTTTACCTTCCCTCTGATTTTTCATTACATCAAAGTATATGCCTGAGCAATAATCTACTCAAGTCCATAAACATCCTTCTTTTAGCTATAAGCAGGTCACTCCTCCCTAGAAATCAGCAAGACTTGCTTCTAATAGGGAAGTGCACCGCTCGCCCCCACGCACACCCACTGCATGGCCCGGTGCTTTTTCTGATCCTGGAGCAGTGAGCTGAACTTCCCTGAGCCAAGTGTACCCAACACTTTAAGAAAATGGGATGCAGACAGTTTTCACTTTGAAGAAAGTCAAAAAGGCTCTGTTGTTTTCAGCTTGGTTGCAAAATGAATAGTGCACTGAACTGTGAGGGGGCACTTCTTGAACCTCCGCTGCAGTGCTGACCCTTCACCAGTGGGGGGCAGTCCATTTCTCACCTCCTAGGTCATAGAACCAGTGGAGTGACACAGTGGGGGGTGGGCGAGCCAAGCTGCCACCAACTAGTTTCCTGACTCTCTGTGTGACATTGGCTTCCTATCACACAGAAGCTTTATTAAATATTCCTCAGCAGAAATGAGCTTTTAATATCACTGACACCACAAATTTATTAAGAAATATGGAAAAATGAGATCTGGCAGCATGCTACGAGGGGAGGCCTCACTCTAAATATGCCCCAAATGGCTGCCGTTTATCATTTTTAATACCAAAAATGCAATTTAGCAACGTTGTGTATTTTCATTATACATTACGCTTTAAGAGGCACCTTCTGACAGTATCACCCTAATGCTGTCAATTAGGTAATTTATTCCAGGGGATTATGAGAGGGAATGAGACGAGGTTTCATGTGTTCTTCTAGGCGTTCCCCGGTGCCTGCTGTACAGCTAATCTAATACATAACCCCCTGATTTGTTTAATGGATGAGACTTTGCTGCTGCAAGAGGCACGCCAATAAAAGCCGGGGCCCTCCAGAGGCTATTGTGCCTCATAATGATGCCAGACACACAATGTGAGAGTTATGAAGCAATTTTTTATCATGCGGCACATTGTTTTGCTCTGTTGGTGCCGTGCAAGTAAAGGCAATCTCTCCCTGCAGCATAGCACTTCTCCCCCACACTTAGATAAACCTTCAGTATGATAAACTGTCCCAGCCACATGTTGCAGAGATGAAGTGAAGTTGAAGATTGAAATACGTGTCCCGTGCTGGCGATTTGCTAGTTAGTCATTGCCAACTAAGACTTTTTGTTAAGTGTTTCTTAATATTTTGGAGGTATTATTTTGCTGGTATGGTGGATGAGACTCACACTCGAGTAGACATTTCATACAGCTGCAGCAGAAAAGATTACAGATATGTTACATGGGGGAAAGTACACATATGCCTCTGTCTGCTCGTGCATGTGATACAGTGTTCTTCAAATAGCAGGTTAAGAGTTGGATTTCCAAAAGATAAAATTCATCTTACAGCAAACACATGGAAGCCAGCACTCATTAAAAACAGCATCTTTTTAAACAAGACGAAGGCAACACTTAAGTCATAGGCATCTATACAAAAGACCCTCTGATGGCAGATAGCACCACGTCTTTTATGCCTCTTGAGTGCTTACACACTTCTTTCATGAATATGGATACTGTTTATATATATGTCTGAGATGCCAGGGCTGCAAAAGACATTTATTATCGTCAAAACAAAATGGTGTGTGTAATAGATAACGTTGAAGTACTCTTGGGAAGGTCACCAAAGAGCTAACAGATGATAACATCTCATAGTATATCAGTCTTTTTACACAGTGAGGGGATGCTAAATCAATATCATTATGCCTGCATGCATTAAATATGAATATATTCGACATATAACTTTATTTTGATGTCATTAAGTTCCATTTGTAATTATCAAAAAAAAAATTCTCTTTGCAGCTGTAACTGAACTGGTGCACTGGCTTTACTTGAAGGTATACTATGCAGGATTGTTGGTTACTGTGTGTTAACATACTGCGCAGAAAAAGTTATTATATTTTCTTTTTGGTGCTGTGTCTGTTGGTTTCTACCTTCTTATAAAGCCCCGTCCTCATCTGAGTGCTGTGGGGGTACATGCCCATAAACATCCCATACACAGAAAATAAGAAAATCCAGGCAGAGGGCTGAGTCTTTGCAGAAATATACACTGCCACACACTTCTAGTGGGTCGTAAGTGTTGATTGAGAGGGTTCACTTCTGTCTAAGTCTGTACACTCTAAGAAAGAATCCAATAAGGTAACAATTTGCATGCATTGTTTTAAGTAGTGCCAGCTTCAGTTTTATAGAGGAAATCCTATGACTCTTTTATAATCAGGCAAACTCAATTAGGTTAGTACATTCAACATGTT